AGGTAAATGTACATATGACAATTATAAGTGACAACTATAGACACTGATCTCTTAAGGAACAGATTTTTGCAGAAAGATTATTTTGCAGATTAACTGCTGATATTTTCACTCTCCACATCAGCAATGTTTAAATTCCCTCCCCATGTTATTCTTGAGAAAATGTGTCAAGTCAACAGACTCTCTTCCTTCTCAAAGGGCTCCAAACATTAAACAATAAGCACAGCAGACTAAAATAGCCACAAAGCAAGATTTTTTCCCGTTTTTCTGTCAAACATTTGTTTGATCAAACCGTTAAAACAAAGTACACTCAGATGTCGAGTGAGAAATGGGGTTGACTGCTCAAGTTTCCATGAATTATAAGCTGCAAAGAAGTTATACATTTGGTATGCAATGATACAGTGAGACGATTACAAGCCCAGCCCACAAAGACTGAAGTGCCTCATGGTGAAACGCACTGGACAAATGGTGCTTCGTCATCTAGTGGCAAATGGGACAACACCAAAAATATTATCTGCTGAACCTTATAAAATATGTAACTTTTTTTTCTTTTTACCAGTAGCTACATGGTATTTGTCAAAAGTTTAGAATAATTGTGATTTTTTTTATATTGTTGAAAGAAGTCTCTAATAATCGAAGACTGCATTTATTTAAAGGGGTCATATGATGCGATTTCAATTTTTCCTTTCTCTTTGGAGTGTTACAAGCTCTTGGTGCATAAAGAAGATCTGTAAAGTTGCAAAGACTAAAGTCTCAAATCCAAAGAGATATTCTTTTGTTTGGCCTTCCAAAAGAGGACAATATCACTTCATCATGGCTGGAGCTGATCCGTGCTGGTCGCAGAGGAAATACTTCAACTTCGCGCTGTGGATCGCCGGATCGGCTTTCACCATGGACGAAGACTGAAAGGAAACTGTCATTTTAAATTGTAATAATATTTCACAATATTACCGCATTTACTGTGTTTTTAATCAAATAAATGCAGCCTTGGTGAGCGTAAGAGACAAAAATCTAATTTATTCCAAACCTCTGACCAGAAGTGCATACAGTGTCACCCCCCCACCGCCCCAACCCTAAAAAAAGAGTCAATATTACATAAGACACAACACCAATCCACTGAACACAAGCTCACACTGACCGTGAGGACAGGCAGTTTTTGCTGCTCTTGCTGCAGCCAGTAAAGGTAACCGGTCCGTCGTCATAGAAACTGCCAAGGGCCAGCTTCTGCCTAATGGACTCCCTCTCATTCCTCTGGGCCTGACGAAAACACAGTCGCCTTCAATAAATGAAGAGAACGCTCACAGACACAGTCTCACAACAGGAATATTTGATGTGGCATTTTAAAATAGATGGCATCCACTTTCATACAGCTACCTACAGCGGCTATATGCTCATGACAGTTTAAATAACTAATAAATAACTAATAAATAATAAATATAGTTTAAATGTGATTTCAAGGGCATGAAGGTATTGGTGTGGAAAAAAGAGAGAAGCTGATGCTGGGAGTGTGGATGGGAATGTATGATATAAATTCTAATTTTGTGCTTGAGTCTAAATCACTGCTGCCTCAATGAACGGCAAATTACAGAGATGAAGAGAAAAAAAGGAGAGAAACCAGAAGCAGTACACATGGGAAGAGCACAGGCGCTCGACAAACATACCCACACAAACACATACCCAGCTATCAAAAAATATGTCCTAAGAGCGTTTTTCTAACATTCCCATTAAGTTATGAAAATAATATTTCTAAATGTTCTGAGCGTTCAAAACATCTTTTTTTTTTAATACATTTTTTTTTCTTGGTTATGTGAATGTGCAAACACTCCTGTTATCATTTTGCAAACATTATGGGAATGTTACTTTTGATATGTTCCCTGAACATTTTGAAACCAGTAGTAATATTTAAAAAAAATGTTACAAGAACATTCAACTAAAACACCTCTGAAAAACAGTTCCATAAACGATGCATAATGTTTTTGTGTTCATGTTTTAAAAACATTATTAAAACCAGATAACTTTGAACAAATGTTCTCTGTTAGATGGGTAAATACATAACTGTGCAACCATTCCTGATGTGATGACGCTATATTGGCAAGAATAAAATGTTCTCTCAGATCTTCATACTACACTCAATTTATTGCCATGGCAACACAAAAAAAAAACATTTAAAAAAACGCCTTGCACTCAACTCCAGTATAGCCTAATCAAAAGGCCTACTATGGTGAAAGTCAATAACTTTCCCTTCCTATATCAATAGGCACACTTATTTTTCTCTACCCTCCTGCCCACATTCCATTTTCAGGCTGATTGCAGGCCAGTTCCACTGATATTAACATTTCGATAAAAGGATACACAGGGTAGAGGAGAGGCTGATTCATGATGCACTCAAAAACTACAGAGGCAAATGAGAAACAATAATAACTCAGCTTGTGATGCAATATTAACAATCTGTAAACCAGGTTTCCTGTACATTCTGAAGAATGGTAACAGCTAGATTTGATTGCTTTCATTAGTGGATGAGATGTTGCCACAGACTAGTAGTTAATGCCAAGCAAATGCAGCCATCCACGCAAATGAAAAATATGACCTTGTGTGAGATGGGTAAAATTAGTTCTAATTCAAGCAGCACATTTTCTTCAAAACTAAATCTACAAGCTTTTTAAGATCCTTCACTCGGAAGGAAATTCTTTTCTTAGCATCAAAAAAAGAAGCAAATATAGATATGCACACATACAGACACACTCATATAAGGCACACAGATGCCACAATGCTTAAGACTATACAAGATATATTGACCTGTCTTACCTGGTAAACACATTTTTCCTGGTGCACCATCTTTCAGCGCATTGTATAGTTCAGCAGCCAAGCCCTACCTTCTACTGCAGTGTCTGAGCTACACCCTTGAGACCAGCATCACACGCACAAAAGGAAGGGGGAGGAGGAGCACAAGCATCTCGCAAAGAAACACAGCCACTAAAAATTAAATAAGGCAGTAAACTAGATCTGTGTTATGGCATCAATTTCACACTAGATGTTCGAAACTCACATAATACCACTCCCCCACAGTGATTTGTTCTCCACTATCAGGCACCTTACATTTCACCAGATACATAAATGGCCTAAATCAAATACTTTGGATTTAGGAAAAAAAAAAAAAAAAAAAAAGAAGACAAAGGATGTTTGATGACATTTGATTTATTGAATGTTTGAGAGAACAAGGACAAAATGAATGAGCAGGAACTCCATAACCTATATTAGCATTCAATCAGGAGGCAATCTTTTGCCACATGCAGCACATTACCAACCTAATTCAAAATAGCCGTCCTCAGACCTCATTCAAATTTCATGGGAAGGATTTGGGATCAAATTCTCAAAAATCCACAAATTGAAGTTTAAAAGGGTGTTTTTCATAATGAATATAGCTGGGTGGTTTATAGTATTTGGGTGGCTCTTTGTGAGGCTGTTTGGCAGAAGGTTTGCATTCAGCAGCTGCAGTTGTAGTACAGGGTTGAGGAGTGGTGGTTATAGGTGATGCGGTAATGGTTTTGGGAGGCTGCACTGGGTATTGTGGATAAAACTGCTGTAAATAAAGAGGATAATTGGGGTAATGGCTATACTGAGGGAATAGACTTCCAGGGTTGGGGGTTGCGGTTTCTGAGGTTTCTGGGCGAACCTGGTGGGGGAGGTGTGGGGATGGCTGATGCTGGTTTCTCTGTGGGCTTTGGTCTGACTAGATAATGGTCATCAGGGTAGTAATACAGCCGAAAATATCTGGCGGTCCTTCGGAGGTTGAGGCTTCTTAGGTGGTGCTTGGGCAACTGATGTGGTGGTGGGAACTGATTTCTCATTGGGCTTTGGTTTGCCATGATGAGGGTAGTGATCTGGCCAAATCATATGGGGGTACTTTGGAAATTGAGGCTTCTGGTTTGGTGCTTGGGCATCTGATGGAGGTTTCTCTGCTGGCTTAGATGTGGGATGATATGGCCAAATCATATGGCGGTATATTGGAGACTGAGGTTTCTGGGTTGGCGCTTGGGCATCTATAGTAGTTTCCTCTGCTAGCTCAGCTGTGGGATAACACAGATATGCATAAATACCTATGTTCCTGTGGCTCAGTGGTAGAGCATCGTATTAGGAGTGTAAAAGATTGTGGGTTCAATTCCCAGGGAACACACATACTGGTAAAAAAAATGTATAACTTGAATGCACTGTAAGTCACTTTGGATGATAGTGTCTGCTAAATGCATAAATTATTAAATTAAATACCTGTCTGTCTCATTAACATTTAGAGATCATGAAATAACATTTTTCATATCTTCCCTCACTTAGGCTTCTGGGCTGGCATTTGGTCATCTGATGGAGGTTTCTCTGCTGGCTTAGCTGTGGGATGATATGGCCAAATCATATGGGGGTACTTTGGAAATTGAGGCTTCTGGGTTGGCGCATGGGTATCTGTAGTAGGATCCTCTGCTGACTCAGCTGCGGGATAACCCTTGCAGGATAATGGTAACGAGGGTAGTAGTAAGGCCAAAACCCTTGCGGAAACACTTGAGGGTACCCATAAGGTGGAGGTTTGAGTGTTGCAGATGGTTCTGGCATAGTTATTTGTTGAGTAAATTTATCAGGATAAAGGGGAGGCAGCATAATCTGCTGATATGAAGGAGGATGAGGTCCTATCAAGGTTTCATTTGCAGTTGTAGAGGTCATAGGACAAGAAATGACTCGTTCTCTGCCAGAATATTTCTGTGAGTTTGCCTGTCTGTGCTCTCACTCCCTCCTTTTTCTACCATTCCTTTCTCTCCCCTTGTGCTTTTCCCTCCTCCCTTCTGTGTTCTCTCTCTACTCTCTGTAGTCTTACCTCTCAATGTATACACGCATGCCCACATAGGTATATTTCTTCTTGGGTTCAAATGGTGAAATGATGGTGGGGGCCTCCTCATACCCAGGTTATTGAGTTCGGTCTGTCCTTTGCTCAGAGTTGAGGTATCCTTCTGCTAGATGTACTCCTAATATGGTCAGAACTTCCAGCCCATATTCCCATTTTATATAACGCACAGATGTAATGCATATCCATATGTTTGCCAATTGTATTCCTTATACATTCCTATATGATGTAGTGTACAATTCTTATTGGATAAACCACTACACCACCCCTTACAATGTATCTATATAATCTACTGATGTAATAATAAACTTTGAAGAAGTTTGTGGACAGAGACTCCATGCTCACAACTCTTTCCATGGGCCCATGAATTCATGAGTGGTGGGAACTAAGAATACTTTGGGGGTGACGAGAAATAACTTGATTAGATTAATTTATTTTAACAGTAACAGATTTAATGCCAGGTCAGCAGCCTAGGCTATTCTCACGGGAAGAGCGAGGTTATACAGAAGTTAATTTTAAAAAACGACATTGTTTAAAACAATAGATTAAATTATAAAACTTTTTCTGGTTAGATCTTATTAAATAGGTAGTTAAATAGAGCCTATTAAGTAAAACAATTGCCTTCTTGCATTAAAAGCTAACTAAATATTGTTAGGAAAATGGAAATGATATATGAAGCTAAGGCATGGCACACTGGGTGTCATGATTTTATGTGTCATCCTGATAATATTAATCGTAGTAAAACATTTCATACTTTCATAAGTTAATACTTGCATATTGGATGCCTATATCCAGAAAAACAGCCTTAGTATACATTTTCACTGATCAGGAAGAGTGGGCATTTATGTGAAAATCTGATGAATAGCATAAGTATATAATGCTTGATCGGCTATGCTGTATTATTATATCAATGAATGATAAAAAGGGGGGAATTGTGGAAGGTGGGATTATTAATATGTTATGTTTTTTTAATATGATATGCTTATTGAACAGTGTGTTATTTTTGCATTTTCTGTATTGCTTAGAGTCACATGCTTCTTTGCTGATTTAACAGAACAACGAACAGCTATTAAACTTTAAGATGTGTGTGAGAGTAAAAGAGCACACACAATCATTATTGTAATATGGAATTGTAATGGAATGGTAAAAGGGTGTTGGTATGTGACAGGAGGGCCTCCACCCAAGGATAGAATATGATAAGCAAGTCTAAGAATGTGGTTGAAAATACCATCATTGGCCTAGAGAGATAACATTCTGCAAGTTGAGACTATATGAGAGGAAGAATGCCCTTCCTCCACTGTCACACTCTGCAGCCACTCCAACATTGTAAAATCCAATAGTTTTCCTTAGATTTAATTAGTTATCTTTACTTTTTAGAAGTAAAAATAACAAATCAATGTATAATTTACAGTCAAAAACTGTAAACTGATATTCCCAGAATTCCCTGCATGACACTCCACATTTGAAAGTATTTTGTTTAAATAATCATGTTTTTTTAATAGTTTTTGTTATTAGTTATGTATATTTGGGCTTTATGTTACATCTTCTGTTGTTTAATGAAAGTTTAATGCATTATTTAAAGGGGTCATATCATGCGATTTCAAGTTTTCCTTTCTCTTTGGAGTGTTACAAGCTGATTGTGCATAGATAAGATCCCTGAAGTTGCAAAGACTAAAGTCTCAAAACCAAAGAGATATTCTTTATCAAAGAATAAAGATAAAGGACCACTGTCCCTGCCACTGCTGCTGTCATTCACAAAGCACATCTGTAGATTCACCCCATTCTGAAGCCAATAGTGACAGTGCAGTGAGAAAAGATGAAGGATTGATTATTTATTTATTTGTTTAATTTAAGATTTTATTTAATTTTAGATCTTTTTTATTAACAGTTTGTTGTTGACCTTTTTATTTCAGTGCTGTTAATTGTATATTCAAGATCTGTAGTCTGAAATAAGAAAATACATTCATGCAAATACATATACATGCAATATGGGAGAGATAAATATAAATTTTAAAGATTTCATTTACCTAACTCATGTGCCATTGGTTGTTGACCTTTTATTTCGATGCTTTTCATTGTATATTCAAGATTTTGTATAGTCTAACTTTGTTGTTGCATAAATAAAAAGAAATGTAGATAAAGAAAGGTTTGGCAGAAAAAAATGCAATGTGAGAGACATAAATATTAATTTGGAAAATTTCATTTACATGACTGATGCGCAACAATGCAGCTTACTGCTATTTTACACGATCACACTGTCATTTTTAATATTGTGTAATTTGCTAAATGGATATTGTATTTTGCAGTGGGGTGGAATACACAACAAGACCCTTAAATTATACTCTTTAGAATGCATTTTGATTAGTAATCTATCAGTGTTATTTGAGAAAAAGAATCAACTTCTTTTTTTGTAGTAATCTGTTTTAAAGTATAACTCTAAAATAAGAACTTCAGGTAGAATTTACTGAAAAGAGAAAGAAAGAGTGAAAGTTCTATTTTTAGTGTCTGTGAACCGCAGTGATACACACTTCCCACAGAAAGCTGCGCATTAAACATTTTTTCTTCAGTTGCAATAGAATTTTGTGGTTATTGATATTCAAAGAACACATTGGCTATAGGCTTCAATTGAAGTCTAGAAATGAAGTCTTCACTGGCAGAGTTTACTCCTGTAGATTGGTATGAGACTGGTTCTGTGATATCTCTTGTTTATATTCTGTGAAATATACGCTGTGGAGTGGAGTGCGGGGAAATACTGTATGCTCTTAGATTTTAATGCTCGTTGGACTTTCCTTTGCTTAGCTTTCTAGGAACCTTGTTGAAACGCAGATGCAATACAAGAAAAGACACAGAAAACAGCAACTCTCACACTAACAAGCATGGCCAGTCCATGGATTTGTGATGCAATAAAATGTCATAATATGAATTAAGTGATCAATGGTAAGAGGTTTCTGTCTTTATTAGGAGAAAACACTAAAAATAATTGTACTCTACATTCAGTAACTATGCACATACATGTTTAGTACAGATTAAATAAAGAAACAAAATTAGCACTATACCAGGCATATTTATTTGTCATGTATTTGCTTTTCATTCCCTGAGTCAGCATTTCAGACTCTCTGTTTAAACGTCATATTCTCCAATTTACGGTGTTCTTTACATTTAGATCAAGAAAATGTGTCGTCAACAGACCCTCTGTCTTCCTTCTCAAAGGGCTCCAAACATTAAACAATAAGCACAGCAGACTAAAACAGCCACAAAGTAAGATTTTTTTCTTCTTTTTTTTCTGTCAAACATTTGTTTGATCAAACAGTGGAAACAAAGTACACTCAGATGTTGAGTGAGAAATGGTGTTGACTGCTCAAGTTTCCATGAATTATAAGCTAAGCACAAAATATACATTTGATATGCAGTGAGATGATTACAAGCCCAGCCCACAAAGATTGAAGTGCCTCATGGTGAAACGCACTTGACAAATGGTGCTTCGTCATCTAGTGGCAAATGGGCCAACACCAAAAATATTATCTGCTGAACCTTAAAACATTTTTTACTTTTTTTTTTTTAGTAATTTTTTTTTGATAACTACATTATCAAAAGTTTGGAATAAATGTGATTTTTAATGTTGCTGAAAGAAGTCTTTAATGTTCAAAGACCGCATTTATTTCATAAAAAAAAAAAACATAAAAACAGTAATATTATGAAATATTATTACAATTTAACAGGAAGTTTTAGCAGCAGCCAGTAAAGGTCACCAGCTAATGGACTCCCTCTCATTCCTCTGGGCCTGACGAAAACATAGTCGACTTCAATAAATGAAGAGAACGCTCACAAACACAGTCTCACAGCATGTATAGGCCACAGAATACCTCGCAACCAGGAATATTTGATGTGTCATTTTAAAATAGATGTCATCCACTTTCATACAGCAACCTACAGCGGCTACTGAATGCTCATGACAGTTTAAATAACATGCTGGATTTCAAGGGCATGAAGGTATTGGTGTGGAAAAAAGAGAGAAGCTGATGCTGGGAGTGTGGATGGGAATGTATAATATAAATTCTAATTTTGTGCTCATGTCAAAATCACTGCTGCCTCAATGAATGGCAAATTACAGATTAAGTAAATAGTTTAAAAAATAATATTTCTAAATGTTCTCTGAGTGTTCAAAACAGTTTTTTTAAATGTTTTTTTTTCTTGGTTATGTGAATGTGCTAACACTCCTGTTATCATTTTGCAAACATTATGGGAATGTTTCTTTTGATATGTTCCCTGAACATTTTGAAACAAGTTGTAATATTTTATTAAAAATGTTACAAGAACATCCAACAAAAACATCTCTGAAAAATGTTTTAAAAACATTATTAAAACCAGGTAACTTTGAACAAACGTTATATTAATTTTACAGGCAGGACATTTGTAAATTTGAGAGATCCTTGCCGGAATGGTAGTCAAAGTTCTGAGAACTTTCTCTGTTAGATGGGTAAATACATAACTGTGCAACCACTCCTGATGTGATGACGCTATATTGGCAAGAATAAAATGTTCTCTCAGATCTTCATACTACGTTCAATTTATTGCCATGGCAACACAGTTGCCTTCTGGTGCTCAGAATGACTAACATTTAAAAAAAAAAAAAAATGCCTTGCATTCAATTCCAGTACAATCATAAGGCCTACTATGGTGAAAGTAGATTTTCCCTTCCTATATCAATAGGCATACTTATTTTTCTCTATCCTTCTGCCCACATTCCATCTTCAGGCTGATTGCAGGCCAGTTCCACTGATATTAACATTTTGATAAAAGGATACACAGGGTAGAGGTGACGCTGATTCATGATGCACTCAAACTACAGCGGCAAATGAGAAACAATAATAACTCCGCTTGTGATGCAATATTAATAATCTGTAAACCAGGTTTACAATACATTCTTAAAAACGTTAACAGCTAGATTTGATTGTTTTCATTAGTAGATGAGATGTTCCCACTAGACTAGCAGTTAATGCTACGCAAAAAACAGCCATCCAGA